GTAGTACAAGTTCGTTCGGGAATAGATAGAGATAGGTCTCGGCGGACTATAAAAGCAGTCCACGTCCAGCGTTAGAGTTCAGACTCACTAACAACATAAGGAACACAAGGACGAAGAGGACTAAAGACTGCTTATATCATAAACATAAGAATAAATCTACTATTACCGAATTTGGGAATTTGTAATTATTGGCGCCAAAGCTGTGATAATCATTTTTGGGCCGATTTTGGATTTGGAGAATAAGGACCGAACTTTGGGAATTTCAAGGAACCTTAACAAAACAAAAACACATTTTTGCATTATTATTGTTTTGTTTCTAAAAAACCCCCCAAAAAAATTGTATGAAAAAAGATCTTATGCACCATCACTCCATCAGACATCAGTCCTTCAGTATTCAGTATTCAGGAATCAGTAGTACAGTTACTCCAGGAGTCCAGTACTGCACCCAGCCAATCAGCCACCCCCTCGACCCAGCAGTCAAGCACCACTATGGAGTAAGTTTGTTTTATTGCTTTGTTTTTAAAGGTATAATTTAAACAAAAATTTCGAGGAATTAGTCGAGTACAACTCATTTGCAGAACAAATCACGTGAAAGTATCGTGCCATCAAATAATCCATTGGCTTAATTTAGTCACACAACAACAATGATATAATACCAAAATAACAAAAAGAGGCACAGGATTCCAGGATAAGCTCAATACGTTTTGCCTATATGTGATATACTTTAAACGTAAACGTTTTTCCGTGACAGTAAGACCGCCTCAAAAAATGAACCTATTTGTAAACCAATAGGACTATATTTATGATAAACTTTTAACGTAAACGCTTATTTTTATTTAGTTATTGCGCTTAAACGGAAAACGTAATGAGGTTAAACACCAGATCCCAGGAGCCTGAAAATAAATAAATAAAGTAAAAATACATTTGGCACTTGGCCAGTCCAAAACTCTTTTTTGTTTTTGAAAAAATATTCAGAGTATGTACATACATGTTTACAGGTAAATATAATTATATGGTAGACGAATGAGGGGACTATAAATAATATACGTAAAATAAAAACAAATACGACGAGTCACGACTCCGTCGACAGAGCAAATTTTAAAATAACCATTCTATGACTATGATGAGGCTAAGCTCATAACGTAATATGAGGGTACGGATGGAAGTTGAACGTGAACGCATATTTATTCAATTTTGAAACGTTATAACGGTTAGAATGTGATCAGGAGGGCCTATCCAAGTTCTTTACACACTAGTTCGTATGGTGAAAATGGTACACATTTAAATGTTTAGACCTATAAGTTGCACCTATGAGCAAACAGGGAACCGCATATGGACTAAAAATTGAACGTAAACGTATATTTATTCAATATATAAATGTATTTTTAAATCGGAAAACACATAGCCTTCTAAATTATGCAAAAACAGTTTGAGATTAGTATGAGGCTATTCTTTTTTTAAAAGCAAATACATTGTGAGAATATATCAATATCACTCCTCCTGCGATTCATACACCTGAGTGACACAAGAGACAGGATCTGAAGTTCTGAACCATTCTCTCTCTAGCTAGTAGAGTGAGTAGAGAGTAGAGATAGACAGGGTAAAGGCCTTGAGTAACAAACGAGTATATTTTTCTTGTTACCTCATAGCTTCAACACTCTTTTGTTTCCATAGAAACCAAGAAAAGACCTGTATTTAAAAAATAAACCCGTCATTAATAGTGCAAGTCTACAGAACTGTCCCAGCCTTGATAACATTTTCTGTTAAAAAAACTCGGAAAAACACATATGATTTCTTAAAATTTGACAAATCATTATATTATATACATCTGTCCTTTGTTGAGTCCCAGCTTTTTTAAAGGTACCCGAGCCTGGGAGTCCCATTCTCCCAGACACGTCCCAGCTTTTATGGTACCCGAGCTTGGGAGTCCCAGGACTCCCAGATTCCCAGCATATGTATCCACCACAGCTGACAGCAGCCTAGTAAATACTTTTGTTTTTTTTAGTATAAAAAAACAAAAGGCACTTGGCAGGACTTTGTTTATATGTACGATACCTCGATATTTATGGGCCCACGTAAGGCGACTTTCGACCAAGTAGCGAACTGTTTTTTTTAAAAGCGTGTACAACTACACAAAAAATCTTTTCCGATACAACAGCCACAAGAAGTATCAGTTTTCGGTTCATAATCTATTCTATCATCTGTAGAGATAGAGCCAATGTTCTGTTAAAAAGCCCTGTGGGCTAATACTGAATACTATCTATAAAAGTTAAAAAAGCATAGCCTAACGAAACTAAAATAATATCATTTCATAGCCTTCTAATTTGCTTTAAAAAAAATACAAGAAGAAAAGAAGGCCATGTATTTATGTAAAATACGATCGTATTTGTATAGTATGAAGTCCTTGTTAGCAGCAGCCTGGCAACCTGGCAGGGCGCAGGGCCGTAGGCAGCCTGTTTATTTCACGTTCTATTTTTATAATATAAAAATCACATTGTACAACATTGTTTTAAAAATAGGCATTTCTATTGGTCATTTTTACTTGTCTCATTTGTTTGGTTTTTATTTTATTTGTTTTGCTTTAAAAAATCAAACCTCCCTCCCCCTCCTTATCCCTCTCCCTCCCGTTTCAAGAGCTGAGCGCCTGAGCCGCTGAGGCCTGAGCGACTGAGCCTCTGAAGTCTGAGACTTGAGACTTCAGAATTGTCAAGTTGAGACTTTGAGAGTTGAGAGTTGAGCGTGTCTGTGAGTGTTGACTGTTGAGACTTGGGAGTTGAGACTTGAGAGTTGAGAGTTTGAGACTGAGGGTTTTTTTAAACCCCATACTCCTTAGTAGTTTTCCCCAGTCACCACCAGCAGTAGTCTACTACTCTCTACTACTGAGAGTAGTATAAAGGCAGCAGTCCAGACACTGATCTGTACTCTCTACTCTACTAGAGTAGACAGAGAGAGAGAGCTAAAACAAAAACCCTGGGTTGGTATACGACAATGACATACACCCCTGAAAAATTGTCGTCGCGACATGTATGACATGTCGGCTCGATATGTGTATGTAGGCTACGAAACAACCACTAGTAGACCTGCCGACTCCTTGTCGCGACCGACATGTCCTACAAAATGTCGCCACGACATGTATGGCATGTCGTTTGCCCAAATGTCGGCGTCGTTTACCAGCCCAGCAAAACCTCGTAAAATTACGTGTCCACCTGGCGCCTGGCGGTTTTTGGGTTCTGTCAGATGGCTGGAAGGGCTGAAGGCTAACTGGTGGTATCAGGCATGCAGAGAAATAAATATTGTAGATCCAATGATCCGTACTTCATTCTTCTTCTTGTGAATATTTGGGATTTGTTGTTTTTTTAATCAGTTTTTTAAAAACAAACTCCCAAACCAAACAACTGACATAAACTGAAAAACTAATATTTACAATAATCTAAATATTTACAAAAAAAATTTAAATACGTGTGCTTCTGTCTTCAGTCTTCACCAGGGTGACCAGGCATGAGTCGTGACTTGTGAGTTGTGAGTCGTGACTGATGACTCGTGACTCGTGAGTCGTGAGACGTGACCCTCGTCCAGTAGTGACTCGTGACTCGTGAGTCGTCCACTGTTTTAGACTTCAAAGTTCTCACTAAATATGTACTGTTTTCTTTTTATTTAGTTTTTAGAAAAGAGAATCGAAATAGATATTTTCACCGAAAGCGTAGCTGTAGAGTCCCTATTTCTTTATTTTATGGACTTGAAATCTGTCCGGAACGCTTTTTCCCCATGTGTAGGCCCCAAAGAGGCCTCCGAGATATCCTAAATAGAATTTTGTTTCAAAAAATAGAGCATACTTTTGTGGGTCCGTTATGAAGAGAAAAGTTGTTTTATAAAAAAAGGCAGGTAGTGAGTGTGTTTATGTGTGAGTGTGTGTGTGTGTTGAAAGTGAAGGAGAAAGGGTCAATCATGAAATCTCACCCTCGGCCTCAGCTCAGGCCTCAGCTCACACTGTGCGGATATATCCCAAACACTTTGTAAAATACCAAACAAAATATTTTTTCAATTACGACAATCTGAGGGTTTGAAAATGTACCATAAACTAGAGGGCAAACCTAGGGTTCAGTGTTTTTAATTTGTTCTTCCCCCCCCCCCCCTTGTATTTTGGGCCCAAAATAAATTCTATAACAAATTAGAACATCCGAACCTCTATTTTTAAAAAATATGATTTGCGACTCAATATTCGGTATTTCCAAAAACTGTTTTTCTCAGATTGTGCAATCTAAAAATAAAACTATTCACATGTGGTAGTTCATTTTTTATAAACTTTTTAAAAAATGAGAAAAGATTTATTTTGTACAGTTTGTAGAAAATTTAAAAAATAGTATATACATATTTTCTGTAGAAAGAAATAGGATGTGGAGCACTGTTTTTACTCACTCCTCCTGTCCCGCGTCGGCACGTTATATCCGGCTATATATAATATTTTTTATTTTTATGAAATATTGTGTGTAGTCACGGAGTAGAGCAGAGTAAATACAGACACTGTAAACATTATACATACACAGTAAACATTATTATAGACAATAAATAGTGCAATAATAGGTAAAAATTTAATATATACTAGTAGAAATACTAAAAAAAATGCTACTATGTACATAGGAGGGACTGTAGAGTTCAGTTTAGTGTGCTGGAAATATGAGTGCAGTACAAGTACATAAATACCTATTTGTTTTTTTAATTCTAAAAATACAATGGACAAGGGGTAATACCAAAGATTTCGTGGTACGTAGTTGGGAAATGTAAATATATTCACATTCGTTCTGATAATACCAACCATCACGGGTGTACGAACTTGAACAGAGAGTCTCAACACGGATAATTAAATACTTAAAATTCCTTCAGGCCTTTTTTTATTGTTTTAGAAATGTATGCCCTTCAAGCAACAGACATCGGAACAAAGCTATATCGAAATGGGGTATATATACCGACCGGAAGATCAGCAAGTAATCATTACTCAAGTAGTTTGGAAGCATTCACAAGAGCGATTTTAAATCAAATAACTGACGCCATGGATAATCCAGAGGAAAAGACAACCACCGCACTAAATCCAACAGAGAAGAAACTTCAACAATCTGGTATCCCGGACGAAGCCTCTCAAGCTGTTGAAGTTGGCAATCGTGACTTAGATGATGACATTCGATCTGATAATGATATAATTCCAGATGATACTTGGGGAAACAGATGGGAGTTCATCTTAGCGAACGTAGGTGCCGCGATCGGTCTTGGTAACTTTTGGCGTTTCCCCTTCCTTGCCTTCGATTACGGCGGCGGTGCGTTTTTCATTCCGTACATCATTGCCCTGTTCACTACCGGCATTCCGCTCACTTTGCTTGAGATGACGCTCTCTCAATACTGTCAGCAAGCAATGTGCAGGTCGTTTGGCAATCTGAACGAGCGATTCGTCGGCATGGGCATTGCCGCACTGTGGATCTGCTTCATCATTGTTACCTATTATTCGGTGATCATAGGATGGAGTAATGTTTACTTGATTCAGTCTTTCTACACACCTATGCCGTGGTCTGCTCGCGGTTTGCCTCCGTCCGAGATGATTACTGTTCCCTCTAACTATTTTTACGATGACATCCTGCACTTGAACGATGCGGCAGTGGTTGAGTTGGGCGAGTTTGTTTGGTTTCTCTTCTTGGGAACGTTCGTAGTTTGGGCTGCAGTCTTCCTAATTCTATTCAAGGGTGTAGCGGTTGTGGGTAAGGCCGTGTGGTTTACCGTGCTGCTACCCGTCTTTACTTTAGTTGTGCTGATTATCTATGGGGCGACTCTTGACGGTGCAGGCGATGGTGTTGTCAAATATATTGGAACTTGGGATATGAGTGTATTGGAGAATGGGCAGATTTGGGTGGATGCCTTCGGACAGATTTTCTTCAGTCTCGGTATTAGCACAGGAATCATGTCCGCCTTTGCGAGTCACAATGGTAGACAGCAGAACATTGTTCAGGACGGTATCGTTGTCGCTATGCTGAATTCAAGTTTCTCCTTTGTCGCCGGGTTCGCCGTATTCTTGGTAGCTGGTCACTTCAAGTATGAAACTGGTTTGACATGGGATGAGCTGCAGGGAGTCCTGGGCGGTCCTTCCTTGATCTTTATTCTCTATCCAAGTGCACTATCACTCACTTCTGGCTGGTGGGGCAATGTCATGTGTATCTTGTTCTTCTTCACCGTATTCATGCTTGGAATTGATAGTGCGTTCGCCCTTACCGAGTCGATCTTCGGCAACCTTCGCGAGGTGAGATTGTTCGATCGCCTTGGACCTTTACCTCTCCTAGCATTTATTGTCACGGCTTGTATGGCTCTGGCTACACTTTACTGCTTCGGTTGGGGATTGTATCTGCTGGATGTCGTAGACGCATATATCAATATTGGTTTGCTGGCTGTAGGTTTCACTGAGGCATTTGTCGTTGGATGGGTGTATAAACGCAATGACGCAGCTGAAATTGTTGGATCGAAGTCTATGCTTGCCCTTGAGCTAGGTTGTCTCGGTGGCTTCCTTGCGTTCGCAACTATTGGCATCTCGGTCGGAAACAGTACTGATCTTGGGCTCGGATATCTTGCGTTGGCCAGTATTCTACCAGCGCTAGCAATCATAGCGATCGGGTTTGTTCTATGTGGGACGTTTTCTCAAGTTGGATTTATGAAGGGTATCAAGACAGCTTCATACCACGGACTGGGTGTGCTTATCTTCGATTTGAATGAAGTTCTTACTAGAGGAACTGGAAAGGACAACTGGAAGCTTCCTGCTATCTGGGGTCTCGCTCTGAAGTTCTTTGTCACCCCTCTGGTAGCTTTCTTGTTGGCGTTGAAATTTAACAAATTTGGAATCGATAGCGGATACGGAGGTTACATCATGGGATATCAGGCCTTCGGCATCGTAGTTCTGCTAGTTTGTGCAGCTCTCGGATTCGCTGGTATTGTGCTTCCCCAGATTGTAACGGTGGAAAAGAAATTCCCAGAAACTTCTAAACGCCATCCGAAACAAATAGTAGTTTAAGGGCGAGGTGGCTGAGAGGACACTGTGGCGGTGGACTTGGTGTGAACCGAATGTTTCGCATACCAAGCGCGAACATAGTTCGCGGATTGTGTCTGATCTTTCTGTGAATACATCAATTATAACTTTAATAAAAACTATAATTCACCGTATACCGTCTGCTGATATGTAGTATTATACGCATTTCGTAAGCATGTATCTATAATCAAGTCTTATGATAGCGTGTTGGGATATTCTTCGAGAATTTGACCCGCTGTGGGTTCGCGCATTCGCTAGGTTTTGTACCTTCACAAACACAAACTTCTATGCCAGTTTATATGTCATCCACCCTAGCCAACCAACGCGGTAAACCCATCTCAAATAACAATCAAACACATCGGATGCTAGTCTTAATCAGCCGTGAGGCTCGGGGTAAAGTAATTTTCTGTGGTCCACACTTCTGGGACGACTATTGGTCCCAAGGGCTCGGAATCACGCCCCCGAGTTGCGGTGGATTGCATCTGTAACGCAGACAGGTAGACAAACTGGTCAATAAAATGCTTACTTGCTTCATAGTAAGCACACATATCGATAAGAGTTGAGAAAAGCCTGACTATTTCAACCGTGCCTGTGCATGTGAGGGTTTAAACATAACTTGACGTCGGGTGTGGACATTTTATAAGCATTCAGGAATGGGTACAGCACAAAAATGTACAATATCAAATGGCAACTAGCCGAGAAGACGCTTACGGCTCGGCCAATAAAGTCCATGAATTTATTAGATTTCGCCGCAGGGGCGGTCAGAGCTTTGCGCGCCGCATGCTTCCTCTCAGTGCTTTCCATCGCATACGTCATCTCCACTACGGTCTCCTTGACTACGCGCATGAATACCTGCAGATGCGATGGTGTATATCAGCGTGTGTTAAAGTTCAAATATAGTGGTCTCGTGAACATACACTACTTTTCGTACATCAAAATAACGTAGCATTCAAACTAAAATACAGACGAAATTTGCGAGTAAGATCGACAATCGTGGTTAGATACAGGCACAAGTGCCATTTGAATTGGCTTACCTCTAATTTGTCTATCTTAGCATACAGAGCAAGTAGCTGCGCCCGCCTCGCGGATAGCTGCTTATCCATTGCCCCAACTCCCGTGGATGCGCTGCCTATCTACAAGGGTCGCGTATGTGAGAAATTGTTATTTTTTTACGAGTTACAATGAGATGTTGGTGATCACTGCGATACGCAACGTTCTATCGAGGGTCTAGATGAACACCTGTGTTCAAAAGGCCAATAGTTACAATCTCCAATGCTGGCTTGATAGTAGCACCACTGCGCGTGCAACAGAACCGTATTATCCGAGAAAATCGTCATCAGAGTTTTGTATAGGGACAACACCGCACAAATACCCAATAGTATCGTTTTGCGTTCAAGGCCCAGGTTGTCAAAGGTCAGGCCAAGTGGAGTATAAAAAGCATTTACGTTCACGCTGCTGTAGGCGGCGTATAAATTAAGCGCACAGTTCTTTTTCATATGTATGATTACAATCGGACCAGCTACAAGTTCACGACAACAGCATACGCTAAGTAATGTACTCTACTAAGATATTAGATAACAATACTCGGAATTCCAAATCATCAGGCTCCGAACACACAAGACACTGAGTAAACAAACCACAACCATATCAAGAGCGAGACTCAATTACCGAATCAAGAGCTTGTTGAAGGTCATCTAGACGCTCGTATACGGCTTCAAGTTTTGCTACCAGTACGGAAATCTGCATATGACAATTAAATTCGGAATCAGCTACAATCAAAATATCCCAGTGCCTCTCCCTTATCCTCGACCCAAGAACAGGTGCGGGAAACCAGCACTCGATAAGAAGGAACATCCACTGAAACATGCGAATATATATACATATTTTAAGTACGTATCATGATATATTTTAATAT